AAAAAAAAAAAAAAAAAAAGAATGAGGTATGCAGATGAAGGAATGTGGAAACAAGCCAGAAAATATTATCAAATATAATAATGAGACAGAACAGTATACTAATATATTTGCATATGCAAACGATTTGGGGGAAGATATTCCCAAACCACTGGTGGTGGTTTAAAGGGCAAGGGTCAAATTATGGAGAACTTTTGTTTCATATTTGTCATACTTTTATATTATTTCCACATTTTACAATGATAAAGTATAATTAGAAAATAAAAATCTTTATATTTTTCTTCACAATAAAATTATGGGAAAAAAGAATTTGTTGTTCAAAGGAAAGACTTGTTATTCAATTCCCTAAAACAATCTCAGAAGACAAAAAATAATTTGTTCAACAAGTGATGAGGTAGTCCCTAAAACCTAAGTTCGTTGGTAAAATAAAAGCCTAAATATAGGCATGTAAAATGGGACAGTAAGAGAGACACCATAGTAAAGATTCAAGTGAGTACAAAATTCAAAGTTTAGTGTATAAGTTTCAAAGCAATTGCATAAGGCACTTTACATATAAAACTGGCTCTGGAGCCTCACCTTATAGTTTACCAGTCATACTACATCATGGCAGTTCCTGGCAGAATATAAGTGGATCCTGAATTCTGAAATCTATCATAGACCCTCTAAATGGAAGCTACCCAAATTGTTATTAATGGCGAGATCAAGACAGAATGCATTTGGTTATTAAATTACTTTGGAAAAGAACAGAAGTCAGGTTAGCGTCTTTTTATTCGATCTTAAATTTCTGTGAATAATTATAATCTAGACCAAAATATCACATTGTGCACCTACTTCAAAATCTTTATATTTTCTTTCACTGTAGATATCAAAGTCTGGATTTGGAATACGTGAGTGCCTATGTTTATCTAGAATAAACATATTAATTGAAAACAGTCAAGCTTATCTCCTCACAGGGGGCAAAAATATTTCTATTTCCTCACCTTTGGAGATTGAATCAGATGATAATCAAGGACCCAAAAAATCCTTGGAGCTAAAATGTCCTTGAGAAACCATCTGCTTCATTATTTTAATTCTGTTGTTTATGCTAAAATAATCCAATGATAGTCTTAACTGCTTAGAGTTTAAATGACTTTAGGAGAAATAGATTAGTTAATGTAGTGGGTATAATTCATGTTTCTGAAGAGTAATGACATTATGAAGACTCCCCAACTGATGATAATTTATTGCATTGTTAAATACATAATTTTTAAAATTTAAAATACAACAATCTTAGTGATTAATTTCAAGCTTTAACCCCCTAATCAAAATATTCTTACTTCTCTATATTGACCTGGGTCAAATGTGAGTTGTGTTTGATGATCTGTGTAGGTAGTGATTAAAACAGGACAAATAAATGAGATAGACAAACAGCTGTCATCGGGTCAGTCATGGACAGACACTTTCTGAGTAGGAGCTGCTATCTGGTAAGAGGGACAATTCAAGTCTGCACACCAGATGCCAGGCTGTCAGAAAGCAGCATTCCACACATCCTCTGATTCACAAGTCACAAAGAGTTTTGGGTAGAGGCAATCTGATGCCTGGTACAATTTAACAGGTAGAAAAACTCTTTTTGATGGATCTGTGCTGTCAACTGTCTGTTTGCTTTCAAACTAATCCTCTGCCTTCTTCATGCTCTTTCTTTGGCTTCTGAGTAGATTTGGTCAGTGGCAAACTGTTGGAAGACTGGGTCGCCAAAGGAATACAGACGCTCCCGTACATCTCTCCACCAAAACTGTGGTGTATGCTCCATGGTTTCAGATCCCACTGGAGAGATCATTTTGGTTCTAGCTTTCACATAATGTTTGAGGCTCCTGGCCTGTGATAACATCCCTTGTTACCTTTAATCTAGGGACCGTAGCCCCAGATATACCAAGCCAACTTTTGCTCAAGTTGAAATGGCATTGATTTTGTTATGGGGCCAGTTTTACTCTAGATTGTAAGCAAAAAGAAGGATGATTTTGCTCCCTGTCATCAGAAAACCCTCTCTGTCCCGGAATAAGGAACTTTAGGTAGGGCATTGCTATTAAGACATAATAACTAACATTTGAAAAGAAGTGTACAACTTACAAGTACATCCATATTATTATTTTCAACTTACTGTGGGCTAATGACATCTTGTGTACAAAATGCTAAAGTGAAATTGATGTATAAACCATATCATCATACTTACACATATACTATGAAGCATCTGTGGGTGCTTTCTGAGGATAATTTTTCAAAGAATAGCAATTTCCTCTGTTTTCTCTGTTTCTCAAATCAGGCTAATTGCTTGTGGGGTATTTCATTTGTTTCTGAACATAGGTGATGACTTTGGATGACTCATGGAATTAGAAATGGTGGCAACTGATAACCATCTCATCATCTCATATTCTTGGCTGTGGATTAATGAGAATCCACAACATACCTATTGGAAAAGCTTGCACAATATTGGACTCAATTACAACATATCTCTGCTAGGTTATTAGAAATTTCCTCTTACTTGAGCCATTGTTGGGGCAAAAAGACCTTGACATTTTCTAAAAAATTAAGCACACATTCTCACCAAGCACATTTTAAATTTGATTTATGATGGAAATAATCATGCACTGTAACCCCCAAATGGGGTGAGGCCAAACATAAATTAGGCTACATGATTTTGAATGATGTTTTATAGACCCTAGGAATTTCTTTTCAAATCAGTGTCTAGGGCTTCCCTGGTGGCGCAGTGGTTGAGAGTCCGCCTGCCGATGCAGGGGACACAGATTCGTGCCCCGGTCCGGGAAGATCCCACATGCCGCGGAGCGGCTAGGCCCGTGAGCCATGGCCGCTGAGCCTGCGTGTCTGGAGCCTGTGTTCCACAACGGGAGAGGCCACAACAGTGAAAGGCCCGCGTACCGCAAAAAAAAAAAAAAAAAAAAATCAGTGTCTACACACCTAGTCAAAGACTAAATAATACAAAAATTTTTAACGTGATTTCAGTTCTTGAATTGACACAAAATATCACCTAAAATGTTTTGTCATAAATTCTTCCCATAGTATTCCCACTGCTTCTCTCATATGTTCCAGAATTTCTCTTTACATGAGACGTTATATCAAGACACTCTAATATTTAAATACATAGAAGGCAGGAGATTATAAAATTGTGTTTATCAATTTAAGATCTTTCTCATTTTTTTCTCAAATTGTTTTATTTCTCTTTTAGTCTATCCACCTGGGGTTCACTTGCCATCAAACCACTTCTTGCTTTTTTGCACAACCTATTCGCCTTCATTGCTACTGGATTCCTCAAAGTTCTATTTTCTGCCAATGATGTACATTTAGCAAATCCTCTTCATCTGCATTTGCTGTACCACATCTCACTATTTGGCAAAGCCACCAAAGCTCTCTTTTATTGATTCCTCACCATCCACCAATTTACCTGCAGCATTGATTTACCAATAATATCAAGCAGTTTAGCTCTGCTACTGAAGAGTACCAGCTTCCCCTCACTGACAGGAATTCCAGAAAGAGCTAAAAATTATCATTGGGCTGAAACCATTTTTCTGCTTTGCCTTAAGGAAATGAGTTATCCTTTCATTACCCTAATTGCATGTTTTTTTTCCTTCTGTTTTTGAAAGTGGTTGGTCCCATTGACAGACCAGCCTGTCTGTCTGGTTTAAACCTGTAAATGTTTGATCTTTCCTGCCTTTAGCAATATTCCTTCCTTTGCAAAAATATCTAACTCATCTAGAACTGATGGTTCAATTCACAAGAAAACTTTATTACTAAGCCAGATCATGTCTTCTGAGCTCCTTTTCCAAAGCGTAAGGTTAGAATTTGCTATTCCTGATTCCCTGCGCTTTAAATTGTGATATGTTATATCATTCAGAACTTTAGTCAGGGAAAGAACTCTTTCTCAGCTTCAGTTTGTGTCATACAATGAGTAAGGATTTTGCTCATCAGGACTTTTTTTGCAAAGTTGAATACTCATGAACAAATGATATGTAAACAATGATAATTTTTTAAAAAATTGATATGGTTAATAAATTTTCACAAATTAAATTGTTGAATAGTGGTTGTTTGTATTATGTACAACTAGTTTTGTCACATAAAGAGTAATCCCGGCACTTTCCTTTAACAAATGTACCTACTTTTACATTTATTGGAGAAAGGTGTCAGTATAGTGGACACTTGGAGATTGGTTAAACATTTTCCTGGAATTGAAATACATGAATTTTGTTACTTTAATTCATTCAGATTACTGTTTTACATAAACATGCCACAAGACTAATCTATAAACAATAAATATGAAAGTTTCAGATTAACTATCATGTATGGCTTACCATGTTTTCCTGATGTTTTTAGAATTTTATGGCCCCTCCTGGTGTCTGAGCCCAGCAGACAGAGGATTATGTCAAGCCAATGAGAGTAGATTCTACTACAATTCAATCATTGGGAAATGCCGCCCATTTAAGTACAGTGGATGTGGAGGGAATGAAAACAATTTTACCTCTAAAAAAGCATGTCTTAAGACTTGTAAAAAAGGTATAGAGGACATTCTTCCTATTAATTCACTAGTGTTTAAGATAATATTATATTGAAATTATGAATGAATTTTAATCTATGAAAGTATGAAATGAGTTCTATTTATGATAAGAAACAGTATTATGATTTAACTAAGTGTCCCCTTTTCAACTACATTTTGATAATATTGCCAGATATGTTAACTGTAACTCCTTTTAATGTGTCTTCATAGAAGAAAATCAATTTTAAACAAAATATTTTATTCTTTTAATATTTACATACTAAGCTTTCATTTTAAAGGATTATACCAAAATATCTTTAAGCTTTCTAATGCACAAAACTTTAATGTATTTATTTTCTTCTGACAATAAAAATGTTGCATATTTATAGAGTATTAATATGTAAATAAAAATCATCTATAACTCCACATAGACACATGTCCACTTTAATAAAATGAGTATTATTTTGTAGCTCAAGGTGAATAATAAAAAACAATAACGTTTACCCATTTATGCAAAGTGACATCCTTAGAAAGAGGTTGTTTACACAAAGATATAGACAAATTAAAGACTTTAAAACCAATTACATGTTTTTTGGTTTTAAACATTAAAAGATAATTTGAAGAAATTTTAGATTAAATGTTTTATTATGTTGTTACTTTATCATGCATAAATTTATTTATCTTCCTTTTAGGTTTCATCCAAAGAATATCAAAAGGGGGATTAATTAAAACCAAAAGAAAAAGAAAGAAGCAGCCAGTAAAAATAGTATATGAAGAAATTTTTGTTAAAAAGATATAAATTTGTTATATTACAACATTATTTCTACTAAATATTTTGGATAAAACTTTTCATTATGATTCCTATTTTTTCTCTCCTGAAATCTTTTTAATGAATTTGTCATGAATTTTCTATGCATATATTACCTGCTATTAATGTATTTGCATCAGAGTTCCTTTACTTATCTGGTCAAATTGCTTATTCTATGGCTATAACTTATTAACTGTCTACTATGAACTTATTATTCTCTCAATCCCTTTCTAACTATCTGCCATTTAACTACAATTTATCATTACAACTGACATCAAATCAGTCCATTTTACCATTTGGTGATCATCCTATTTGAGAATATGTTGTCACTTATTTGTTTTGATCATGTATACAATTATATTTTTATAGCCTATGTCCAGGTTAAGAAATACAACTATTAAAGATCAAGCGGTTTGGGGGTTTCACGTCTAAAATAGTGGCAAGCATCTTCTGATAAAGATCACTCAATTTGGAAAGATCACTCATTTGGAAAAAGCTGGTAATAACAGAATTCTGTCATGTGATTCCCTCCCTAGACATACTTTTTCTCCTTTTGCATTAACCAGTACCTCGAACAATCTTGAGCCAAACCATATCTGAACAAAGAAAGTCAACTCTACGTCATGTGCCTGCCTGATTTTGATTGATGTAACTTTTATTTGCTTATGGCTCATCATATGAGTAAAGATGGCTGAATAGCTGTGTGTTAAATACAGATCATGATAAGAAAAAACTTGGTGGGAAAGGGAATTTCTTAGTGGCAATCAAAAGGAAATTGTTTATGTACTTCCTAATTTTATTGCTTGACAAACTTTTCTCTTACCAAAAATAGCAAGTATATTTAAAACTCCTGAAACCTATTCATTTATAATTAGGCTTTGCACACAAAGCAACCAGTAATTCGTGCTTTTAAAACAAAGTCATGGGGGCTTCCCTGGTGGCGCAGTGGTTGAGAGTCCGCCTGCCGATGCAGGGGACGCAGG